GGTTACTGCATTTGCAGCATTTTAGCTCATTGTCAGCAGGCAAACTTGCATAAATTGGTGTGTTTTGCACAAAACGTATTCCTTTGCTTTCTGGGAATTGAGCCAGTTTGTTTAGAACTTAACTTCAATCAATCAGAACCGAGCTGGAAGGGACCTTGGAGGTCTTCTAGTCCAGCCCCCTGCTCAAACAAGAGACCCTCTACCATTCCCGACCAGTGGCCATCCAGTCTCTTCTTAAAAGCCTCCAGTGATGAAGTACCCACAACCTCAGAAGGCAAGCTGTTCTCCCATGTAAGCCCCCCCCCTTCTTGGAACGAGCAATTAGCATCCAAAAGCTGAGCGGAATAAATGAGGATCTCATTTTGCCTCTTTTATATAAACGGCAATTTCTCTGGCAGTTGCCAAGAAATTCGAAATTCAAGCAGGTGGTTACAGCTGCTGAATGTTAAGGAAACCAAGTGAGTCCTGTGGCCTTTGGCAGCGTTTTTTGTTTACCATCCTGGCTCCCTCTGCAGAGCTGTCATCAAATCTATGACTTTCCCAGTCTTGCTGCAATAGTGTGACTCAGCCTAGCCAAAACTGCTTACACGGTGCAAGCAAATTACCTTGGCATAATTTTTCCGAGCATGGACAATTGGAGGAGGAGGAGGAGAGAGAAAGAGAGACAGAGACAGGGAGACGGGAAGAATTTGGAGAGGCGCCAACATCATTAATGGCAGCCCAGCTTGAAATGCCACTGCTTGGAGAGTACATTCTTGGCACAGGTTGCCCGAGGGATCTAAAATAATCAATCTTCTGTAACAATCACCCAGGACATTTAGTTCATCTCCTGAGGCAGCATCTTGGGGACAAAGATGCTGCTATAGCCTACAGCAGTGATGGCGAACCTTTGAGAGACCGAGTGCCCAAACTGCAACCCAAAACCCACTTATGTATCGTCGGGTGCCGGGTGGGTGTGGCCCATTGGGTGGGCGTGGCTGCGGTGGTAACACCAGACTGGGTGGGACTAAAAAGTTCAATCAATCAACTCCAACTTTGCAAGATCTTTTTTTTCCCACGAGAAGTTGAAATTGACTGATTGATTGAACCTTTTTTTTGTGTGTACATGGCGGCGGAGGCCTAAAGCGAAAAGATTTTATAAAACCCAGCTGAAGGCCTAGGACTGGGGCGACGGCATGCGTGCCCGCAGAGAGGGCTCTGAGTGCCGCCTCTGGCACCCGTGCCGTAGGTTCGCCACCACTGGCCTACAGGGACTATGTGTGTATTTTGTATGTATTTTCATAAAATAAAGCAAGAAAGATAGCCTTACAAGGCCATGATCCCTTAGCATCCTGTTACTCTTGAATGAACTCTCTTACAAAATAAAGGCCAGATTAGGAAGCTCCCAACTGACACTGTCAGCAGTTTGTCCCTCCTTTAGATAAAATAGAGTTGGAAGGGGCCTTGGAGGTCTTCTAGTCCAGCCCCCTGCTCAAGCAGGAGAACCTATAGCATTTTAGACAAGTGACTGTCCAGCCTCTTCTTAAAAACCTCCAGCGATGAAGCGCCCACCATTTCTGTTCCACTGGTTAATTGTCCTCCCTGTTAGGAAGTTTCTCCTTAATTCCAGGTTGCTTCTCTCTGTTCGAGCTTTCTCTATCCTTGTCTTTACTTCCACGGTCATGTCCCAGCTTTCATGTAAATTGGAACCGAGGTGTGTGATCTTTTCAACTTTTTCTAGTGGTATTCCTTCTGAATTTATTGGTGGTAAATTAACGGGTTGTTTTCTGACGACCATGATCTTGGTTTTTGAGGCGTTAAGCTTCAAGCCGTGTTTTTCAGATATTTTTTTGTCTTTATAGTATTCAATAATAAAACAGTAACAGTATGATTATACCTGACATTCCACCACAAGGTAACTGCAATATATAAAAAAGCTACTGTATCATCTTTGCAAAGGTTTTGTTCGGTTACCTAGAGACTAGGATGGATTCGCAAGGCAGGATTCTGCACTCATCATGCCCTTGATCTTTTCAGAAGGCTGATTAGGAGACAGCCAGGCACACATTCAAAGAGGGAAGCTCCTCCCTTCCCCCTTTGCAAGATACAGATTTTTACTACCTCTAATTTGTGGCAAAAATAGGGAAATGGTTTGCCATTTTATTCTGCCAGAGTGTTGCTGGGTTTTTTTAACTCCGCAATCTAATTTATAGCCCTGCAAAGCCTCAAAATCAGCAGTGAGAGATTCCCCACTGTTTCTCTCTTTGTAATACAAATTTCATGCTCGCAAAAGGAAGAGGAGGAGGGGAAAAAAAAGGATTTAGGAGAGAGAAATGAGAATTCCATCAGGGGCAAAATAGTAGGGCAATACTGGAAACCCACAAGAGCCTCGGGTCCCTCTGTTGTAACCCTCCCTGCAGCAACTGTGCTAAATAAAGATATCCCCCCCAGAACCGCCTGGTTGTTTTGCGAAGCCCAAAAACCACAAGGATCCGCTTCCTCCACAATGACAAAGGGAGCTGTCACGTTCCTTCGAGACACACACATCCCTCTCCCCAACTCGCCTAGACTATGTGTGAGGTGTGTTTATCCTGGCGAGAAGCAGTTTGCCCGCACGTGCACTGCATCCAAAAACTAAGGGCTACTTTGTCAGCAGGATGCAAAGTAATATCCATCGTTCGTAGGTCCATCTTTCTGATCTTCACACACATTCATCCAGAGGAATGACATCTGGGCACCCTGAAGATCTCCAGAAGATTCTCTAGGGAGAAAGCTGGGCGGGTATCTCTTTCGGTCAACCATTACAAATTCTCACATCCAGCAACAAAGGAAGGTTATTCCATGTTACTTATGGGCTCGTACAAAGCAGATGGAACATGGAATAAAAAGATTGGGAAGGACCTTGGAGGTCTTCTAGTCTTCTAGCAGGAGACCTTAATAATAATAATAATAATAATAATAATAATAATAATAATAATAATAATAATAATAATAATAATAATAATAATAATAATAATAATAATAATAAAAAAGTTGGAAGGGACCTTGGAGGTCATCGAGTCCAACCCCCTGCTCAGGCAGGAAACCCTACACCATTTCGGACAAATGGCTGTCCAGTCTCTTCTTAAAAACTTCCAGTGTTGGAGCATTCACCGCTTCTGGAGGCAGGTTGTTCCACTGGTTAATTGTTCTCACTGTCAGGAAGTTTCTCCTTAGTTCTAGGTTGCTTCTCTCCTTGATGAGTTTCCATCCATTGCTTCTTGTCCTGCCTTCAGGCACTTTGGAGAATAGCTTGACTGCCTCTTCTTTGTGGCAGCCCCTGAGATATTGGAACACGGCTATCATGTCCCCCCTCGTCCTTCTCTTCGTTAAACTAGACATACCCAATTCCAGCAACCGTTCCTTATATGCTTTAGCCTCCAGTCCCCTGATCATCTTTGTTACTCTTCTCTGTACTCTTTCTAGAGTCTCAGCATCTTTTTTACATCGTTCCAGTCTCTTCTTGAGATTCTTCACGATTTTGCTTTCCAGTGCTCCATAAACAAGCTTTATTCTAAGGCCCAGCCCACCCAACTGCTGCTGTTTCGGACATGCCCAGAGGCCTGGGGAGAGTTCATCAAGCCTGCTTTAATTCCACATCTGGAATTCTGGAAATACAACCTAGAGAAGACCTGCAAATTCCTCAGGTGATTATGATTCAAAGGTCTCCTTATCAGAAAAAACAGAACAAAGCAGTTCTCCTTTCTGAAGAAAAGAAGCAGAAAGGACCACCAGAAGCCACCAGAAAGAAATCACAGCAGAACAGTGGTTCTCAACCTTTTTAATGCCGTGACCCCAACCGGTCATAAGTCGAGGACTAAACTGGTCGTAAGCCGAGGACTAAACCGGTCGTAAGTCGAGGACTACCCAACCGGTTGTAAGTCGAGGACTTTCCCTTCCCGGGAGCGCCGCGCATGCGTGGTTCCGCCCCCTGCGCCGGCCGAGGCGTAGCTGGCAAGCGGCAGAGACGGAGCAGGCCGACCACCAGCTGGCCCAGCCCAAGGGAGGTAAGGCACCCGCCGGAAAAGGGGAAAAAAAATGGCGGACAAAAAAAATGGCGGACAGCCTTGCTTGGCGACTCCCGTGAAATGGTCAATCGACCCCAAATGGGGTCCCGACCCACAGGTTGAGAACCACTGCAGCAGAGTAATGACTTAACAGTGTATTACCCAGATTATGAGAGATGGCGCAGTGAACATACGAAAACAGAGATCATTTCCTAATGAACATTTTCTAATATTGCTTGCTAAAGCTGAGGACTAAAATCATGTTTTTCTCAGTTAGAAAACTAGATTCCCCCCACCATTATTTTTGCAAGCAAACGCATCGGGTGAGAATATCAACAAAGGGGTTATACCATTATTCATAGTTATTATCAACAATTCAAGAACTCAGGAGTTTGCCATCAGAAAACGTTATATTTGCTATAAAATGTTCAAATGAGCCAAGGAGGAACCCAAAGGCCTACATATAAACAGAGCTCAAACCGCCACAAATCTAGGATCTGAACACCCAACGTAACATAATAAACACTTGAGGTTCCAAAGCTTAATAAAAAGCGACAGTCTGTTTATCAAAGGTTTCCAGCCCTGAAGGGCAAGCAATTTTGCTTTTGACCTTTCTTATTTTTATTATTCATAGAAACTGCAATTTTCAGCAACTTACTCCAACCCCCAACAGCATTTCACACTTCTGCAAGGACATTCCTGAAGCCAAGTCCTTCTGGTTACCTAGCTGTCGTAAATGGAGAGCATCCAGAGCAAAATATGATAGGGGAAAAAAAAACCCAGATCTATGCTCAGCTCGAATTACTTGTGCTAAAATATGATGAACACACAGCTTTGTCCCTATTAGACCATGCACACAGCCAAGTGATGAGTCGTACAAAAAAAAGTATGTGTAAGAGATGTACAAAAAAAAGTATGTGTAAGATGCCCTGTCATCTTCCTCAAAGGAAGGAAAAGTAAGGCTTAGCAGATTACCTTGGGATCCGACCTCCAGTTCCAGATCCAGTTCTTCCAACTCTTTTCCCAAGGAATGGACTGGTGTCTCTGCCTCAGGAGTCCCAAAATTGCCTTCTGAATCCGAACTGCACAGGAAGGAAGGAAGGAAGGAAGGAAGGAAGGAAGGAAGGAAGGAAGGAAGGAAGGAAGGAGAGGAAAAAAAAATTACTTCCTCCAACTAATCAAAGCAACCTTTCCAGCTTGTTATGAAGAACTGTTTTTTTTAAAATAAGTTTTTATGGAGTACAAAGGAAAAAAAAAGGATTAAAAACATCGAACATGGTAAATCGTCTTTGACCGACATCTCAAGTCCATATTGTACATTAATTACATATAATATATCTATATACAAACTATACATTTCTGGTCTCTGTCTTATCTCTTTATTTGTGACCTCCATTTTTTTCCCCCTCCATCTATAAAATTTATTCCATATTCGATAGAATTCTGTTTCTTCCTGATTTTTTAATCTTTTAGTTATCCTATCTAGTTCTGCGCAATACATAATTTTCTTTTATTAGTGAAGAACTGTTTTGAAAGACGGGTTGAAGAAAGAAACTGCACACTTACTTATGATGCATATAAAAAAAGATAAGAGGGTTTGATTGCACGGTGGTGGACACCATGTTATGCATTCCTCAGATAACCCTGACTTTCAGGTATTATCTACCACCTTCACTTACCTGTCCCTTTTTTTCTTCTTCTGGGCATCCTTTCAAACAGAGCAGTGAGCTGGAGTGAGCCAGCTTGAAAAAATGCCTCTGAAATTAACATGGATTCACTGGCACCGTAGGAAATTCAGATAATACTGAAGGTGGGCGCTTTGCTCCAGAACACACGTGGGTCTTTCAACTGGTTTTTATTTTAAATAATCTAAAAAGCACGGGCAAGTTGGAAACAAGGGAAATACCAGGCACGTGGCTTCTCACGGGCTCTCCGTTGAAGAACAAGGAAATAAGTCTTCTACGGGTGTGAGCAAACATGAATTTGTGGCTTTCGGTGTTTTGCCTATTTGAACAGCAGCATTGTAGTAGCATTCCTGGGTGTGCGTTTCCTTCCCTGTGGTTGTCCCAAGGAAGTTGTTTTGGCTCCTTCAGCAAGCTCAAGGACCACAGCAGCAGAAAGCAATTAAATTCCCCCCCCCCTCCGGTGCATGCTTCATCCAATTATTTTTTTTTTAGTTTAAATTTTTTATTGATTTTTCAATTAAAAACAAAAACATAAATCTTTTATCACAATATCAACCAAAAAAATAACACTAATCAATACATTCACGGAAGTGTCCGGTGTTCCCCCCCCCCTGCACTCCCCTCTTTCACTTACCACACCTTCCTCCTCCCAATCCTACCACCTCTCCTCCTTCCTCCCTTCTCTCCTACCTCCCTTCCTCTCTCAACCATCCCATCTGGTGCAGTTCGGGTACCCACCGGACACCTCCTTAAAAAATCTACAATACATATAAATCTACAATACAAACCTATCCCTTTCCCCCCTCCCCCCCCCCAGGACTTCCCAGAGCTAATCCAGGAAATAAACACACAATAATCCAATTCTATTCAAAACTAATCATTATTACTACACTCTAGTATAAACTTACTGCTTCATCCAGTTATTAACCAGGTTCCCTGTGGATGCTAGCTACTTAAGGCCCTGATAAGAGGTCACCAGGAGCGCATTGCACTGGCTCTTCTAATTAATTTCCAGGTGCCATTCAAAAGGCCACCATGAACCATTACAGCCCAACCTGACTTGGCACTGAGCTATATATGGGATCACATTCTTCTGCTTGAATCAAGACAACCAATTTTATTGTCCCAGGAGAAATTGTTGGCAGGATCCCAGTTCCAAGAAGCAAGGAGGTGCTTCTTTTCTGCTCTTTGAAATAACCTCTCTCAGCCGAGATAAAAATGCCAACCTTAAAAAATCTACTTATTTGGGAGGATGCTAAAGACGGAGTTTCTTCACCACTACAGTGATACGAGAGCTTGTCATCTGAGTTTCATTTTGATGCTGGTTTGGGGTTTTGGTTTTGGTTTGGAACTTATATTTAACTCGTATCCACTGTGGACATTCTATAGCAGTGGTGGCGAATCTATGGCACGTGTGCCAGAGGCGGCACTCAGAGCCCTCTCTGTTGGCACCCGTGCCGTTGCCACAGTCCCACCTCCCCCCATGGCCCCCTCACCAGCAGCCCCCCAGGAAGAGAGTCGCCCTCGAGGGCAGCCCACGCAGAGCAGCACAGCCAAGGATATGGCAGCTGGGCAGCGGGGACAAGACTCTGCCGTCGCGCCCCGTCTCGCACAGTTGATGCTGAGGGGCACAGGTGGAGGGGGCTGCCATGGCACTGCTGGGCCACCTGGGTGATCTGCGGCGGGTTGTGGAGGCGGTGGGTGGCCCTGTGGGCGGGTGGGGAGCAGAGGCAGGGTGGGCGGGGGGCAGGGCAAGGCCGGGTTTTGGGCACTCAGTCTCTAAAAGGTTCGCCATCACTGCAATATGCTATATAGGCCAAAACTTTCCACTTAATTAAAATTAAAGCGTGTTATGGAATCGCTGTCTCGTTGGGCCCATCGTGTCCAAACACCTGCTCCATGCAAGAATCAGAACATCTTAAATGGGATGGTCCCTCCTCTTCTCCCATTGCACCTGCTAACTTGGTGGGAAAGGCTTTGACTCAAGGCTGCAATCAAAGGCTTCAGACAGCTGCACCCTTCTAAAGGCTTATCCCCTGTGGCATCGCTCTAGAACGCTAAGGGCATCTTGCTCTAGATCAGTGGTTCTCAACCTTGACAATTTTAAGGCATGTGGACTTCAACTCCCAGAATTCCACAGCCAGCATTGCTGGCTGTGGAATTCTGGGAGTTGAAGTCCACATGCCTTAAAATTGTCAAGGTTGAGAAACACTGCTCTAGATGACTACTAGGGAGGGCAAAGACCGATGGAGGAATCGACTCTCTGCCGCCCAAATGGCAGCATTGAAAAGGCAAAATTTGGCTCCCAGGTGGAAGATCCAAGGAGCAGAGGGCACTGGAGGAAAAACAGTCACTCTCTCTCTCTAGAATTTACTTCTGGACTCAATTAAAGCCGTTTCAGAGATTACGTGGCAGCCTGGATGCGCCTCTGTGTGTGTGTGTGTGTGTGTGTGTGTGTGTGTGTGTGTGTGTGAATGACCCATCATTAGAGCTTCCAAGGCAGCTGTTCTGAGCAGGACCAGGAAGACTGAGAACAAACACCCACCCTCTGAAGGAGACAGCTAGTCCCAATGTGGCTTCAGCCTCTGGGTCAGCCGCTGACCCCTAAGATAAAGCACAGCGGGAACATGTCCAGGCTGCAGGATAAAGCTTCCCAGCATATTTGGGAATGCCCAGAGCACATTTGACATCCTGATGCGCTTCAATCACAGCAGAGCCTTTGGTGACACATTCCCAGCCCAAGGACTCAAGTGGAGGCTGATGTCCAGATGCGGCCAGAGTAAAGGCTAAGTCATAAATCATGGTTAACGGCTAAACGACAGCAAAACGGGCAGCTTTCTGCTTCAGCGCGCGATGCGGAATAGGCCACCCTATTGCGCCACAGCGTGACTTGCTTCTTTGGGCTTAACCACCACGGTGGCTTTTCAATCGTGGTTTACGGTTTAGCCGGTTGTGTCCCGACAGTTGCCAGGGTAGAAAAAGCCAGGCACGTGCACACCCAGGGCCCCCCCACTCTCCCTCTGGAGGAGCCCGCCGAGACAGAGGCGAGACGCGCAGAGACACGCGTGTCCTTTGCCCACGTTAGCCAACCAACCCCCTCGTTTCGCTGCCAGAGCCGCCCGGGCTCGGGTCAGAGTTTCCCTTTCACACGCCATCCCCAGACGCGCGAGCCGACCCAACGGAAAGCGGCGGCCCCACGGAAATCTCCAGGTGCGCCCGGAGGTGCCAAAGCGCCTGTGCGCTCGCAAGCGCCCCCGGCCCCATCCAGCGCCCCCCTCCCCCGGGCTGACCCGCGAGCCCTCGGAGGCCGACTCGAGTCTGCCTGGGCGGAACGTGTGAAAGGGGCCCCCAGCGGCCGCTCCGCGCTGCCCCGGCTTGCCTGAGACTCAGCGACTTGGTCTCCGCCTGCGCCGCCGTCTCCTCCTCCGCGTCCTCCGCCTGGCCGGGCGCCGGGCCGCTCTCCTCCCCGGCGGCGGCAGCGGCCGCCTCGAGGTCATCCTCCGGCTGGGGGTCCGCGGGGCCGCCCTGGCCGCCGCCTCGCACGGCCGACCAGGTCCACTTGGCCCACTGCACGGGCGAGAGCAGCTGCCAGGAGGGGCTGAAGGCCATGGGGGCCGCCGTCGAGATGGAGAGGTTGGGCGGCCAGGGGAAGCGCCGGGATTTCGGAGCGAGCCCAGCCGAGCCGGCGCGGATGCGGTCAGCCGTGAGCCATCGCTTCTTCTCCCCGCCTTCCTCCGCCCCGCCTCGCCTCGCCGCCGCTTCCTCCCCCGGAGCAGGAGCGCCGGTTGCTGCCTTTCCGCGGAGGCGCGCAAGGGGTGCTCGCAACGCGCCCTGCTCCGGGCGCAGCAAAGCAGCCGCCCCGCTGCCTCCGTCCCAGGGGGGACTCCGGTTGGCTTGCCTGGCCAAAGGCGAGGGGGGAGGGAGGAGGAGGAGGAGGAGGAGGAGGAGGAGGAAGAAGAAGAGGAGGAGATCCTCGCCGCCGCCCTGTCTCCACCCGGTCACTCGTTCCCACGTTCGCGGCTCCTCCGGGCTGGCTGCGCAAGGCGTGGGCGCGCTGCCCGATGGCGTTTGCTGCCTGCGAGGGCGGAGTGCGCCCCTCCTTTTCGGATTAAATGCGAATTAAGGGGCTGGTGAGGAGGAGGAGGAGCGGTAGCTTGAGTTCTAGTGCACCAGGCCCCCTTCACACGTTACATTCAGGCGCAGGCTGAAAACGCATCCCCGCCCCAGTAGAGCAAGGTCTCCAAAGGACGCACCAGAGGGATGAAGCTGCTGCGTCTTAGGGAATGGATGGGTTGCTTGAAATCTGCCTGGATTCGGGCAACAGGTCGAGGTGCAAGGGAAGAATAAGACATTGGGAAGACACGAAGAGATCCCCAACCTACGAAGGCTGTGGATTGGAAATGGATTTTCCTTCTGCCAATTCTGTTCTAAATTGCAACTTTCATTCCAGACCCCGATTCTTGGCTTTTTTAAAAAGTTGTGGGCAGGCTCCTCAAACAGGAGAAAAATGTCATCTTTGGCGGTGCAAAATCGGGCAACTGGAAGCTGCTTTTTTAAAATCATTGTTCTTGGCTGACGCTTTTTAAATCCACCAGGCTGCTTTGGAAATGCTTGATTTCAGGTCTGTTTAGTTCAGTTGCTACTTCCGTTGTGTCACTTCCTTCTGACATCGCACCACACTTCAGTCACCTTGAGGAGCGAAGTAGATAACAAAGAAAACACTCGCAACCAACAGCTTGAAAACTCCCCAGCTTAATGAATTGAATTCAGTCTAGTTCGCAAAATCTCACTTTATGTTTATGCTGGCAGGATGTGGTTTCCTAAGTCTTGTGTTCACAGGACACACTGAAGCATAAGATAACCACAAGGGCTCCCTGCACACCATCCGATCCGTTACTATTGAGAGGCAACTAGATTGTGGGTGGGCTCAAATGTCTTGGGTAAGCTACGTATCTCTGGAGCAATGGGGTTTTTTGTTGTTGTTTTTTGTGTTACCCTTCTAAGTCCACATTGAACTTGGTGGACCCGAAGCTTGCTTGGCTTCATTGCCTTTCAACCTTCAGAGGTTTAGCTAGCAAGACCAGTTGAGGGGAAATGACAAAGGGTTATAAAGCAAATCAGACTTGAAAACTCTGGCTTTCCTATTTACCATAGCTAGGGCAAGAGACCCTAATCTCTGGGCCACAGCCCACTAGTGGGCCGTGAGGTGTTTGCAACCAGGCCGTGGAAAAAGCAGGCATGCACATGGGTGCATCCCCACTTGCACGAGCAGTGAGGGTGTGCACGTGTGCTCCATTTGCATGTGCGGCAGGCACATGTACACTGCTCGTGCAAATGGAGCTGTGCGCATGTCCCCGTGTTTGCCAGCCGCTCACACAGAACCCGCTGGTCTGTAAGGTTGGGGAACTCTGCTCTAGGGTTTCCCAACCTTGATCACTTTACGTTGTGTGGGCCTCAACTCCCAGAATTCCCTAGCCAGATATATTAAAGTCCACGTGTCTTAAAGTTGCCAAGCTGCCAAGAAATCGTGGGCGCTCCATCACTGGAGATTTTTAAGAAGAGGCTAGACCGTCACTTGTCTGAGATGGTATAGGTTCTCCTGCTTAAGTGGGGGGCTGGACTAGAAGACCTTCCAGGTCCCATTCTATTCTATTCTATTCTATTCTATTCTATTCTATTCTATTCTATTCTATTTCTATTTCTATTTCTATTTCTATTTCTATTCTTTCCATATTCTATTCTATTCTATTCTATTCTATTCTATTCTATTCTATTCTATTTCTATTTCTATTTCTATTCTTTCCATATTCTATTCTATTCTACAATCTGTCTATTCTATTCTATTCTATTCTATTCTATTCTATTCTATTCTATTCTATTCTATTCTATTCTATTTCTATTTCTATTTCTATTTCTATTTCTATTCTTTCCATATTCTATTCTATTCTATTCTACAATCCGTCTATTCTATTCTATTCTATTCTATTCTATTCTATTCTATTCTATTCTATTCTATTCTATTCTATTCTTTCCATATTCTATTCTATTCTATTTCTATTTCTATTTCTATTTCTATTTCTATTCTTTCCATATTCTATTCTATTCTATTCTATTCTATTCTATTCTATTCTATTTCTATTTCTATTTCTATTCTTTCCATATTCTATTCTATTCTACAATCTGTCTATTCTATTCTATTCTATTCTATTCTATTCTATTCTATTCTATTCTATTCTATTTCTATTTCTATTTCTATTTCTATTCTTTCCATATTCTATTCTATTCTATTCTACAATCCGTCTATTCTATTCTATTCTATTCTATTCTATTCTATTCTATTCTATTCTATTCTATTCTATTCTATTCTTTCCATATTCTATTCTATTCTATTCTACAATCTGTCTATTCTATTCTATTCTATTCTATTCTATTCTATTCTATTCTATTTCTATTTCTATTTCTATTTCTATTCTTTCCATATTCTATTCTATTCTATTTGTTGTGCCCTGTGAGAGGTGCCAGCCGTTCCAAGGTCACACTATGAAAAGCAGAACCATGCAGCCCGCCAAGCCAGGGACTGTTACCAAAACAATTTGTTTGAATATAATTGGACAGCTAGAGATAACCAAGGGGGAAGGTGGGAATGGGGGAGAAGTTAACCACATATTTTGGGTGGGAAAAGCTCCAATCAGTCTTTGCTTCTCTGTAACCACTTGGCTTAAGTAAAATGTACTTTCGTTAACAATGTATCCGAGAATCTTTTTTTTCCCCCCTAACTGACCAAGTTGGGAGGGCTGACAAAGTCTCTCCTCTGAACAAATCAAGGTCTTTCTACGAAGAATGGTGCTTGGCAGGAAAGCTAGGAGCCAAACCTCTCTGATCTTTCAGCCAAGGTTGTCCTTGCCTTTACAAATCACCCTGAGGAGCCCCTGTCAAACGGGATCCAGCATTCTGTGCCAAGAGAAAAGCGGTGCCTGATATAAAAGATTCTAACCGGGTCATTCAGATGAAACACACTGATGTTCTTCTGCAGTGCAAAAGATGAAGGATGCCTCTTTAAAACAACTCTCCATGAAAAAGCAGCTGAAACATTTCCCACCGCCACCGCTCTGGCACAAAGCTTGATTTGGGAGCAGGAACAGGACACCCAAATCCACCAAGCCGAAAAGAAAGGAAATGAAACGGGCCATTATTAAAACACAGGGCAGATTTTTCTGGAGAGGGACGAACACGGAGGCAAGTTTTGGAGCTGGCTTGCAAAATCTCCTGCCAAATGAAATTAAAACAGCAGATTTATCAAACTGACCAGGACGCAAAGACACCCCATCAAGCTGACATTCTGCATTTACCAAATGGAGGAATTGTTTTTCTTAAATAATTTGCCATTAAGACAGGAGGTCCGTCTCAGTTGTTTCGGTAAGTCCTCCACTTACAACCATTCGTTCAGAAGACAGCACCTGAAAAAAGTAACTTATGACCGGTCCTCGTACTTATGACCATCGGAGCGTCCCCACAGTTACACGATCAAAATTTGGGTGCTTGGTAAACAGCATGCATTTACTACAATTGCAGCATCCCGGGGCCATGCGATTTTCCATTTGGGACATTTTCCTCTGGTTTCTGACAAGCAACGTTAATGGGGGGAGCTGGATTCACTTAGTAGCCACGTGCTTCACTTAACAACTGAGGGGATTTATTTAACAACCGTGGAAAAAAGGTCATATATAGTATGTTGAAATGTGTGCTGTGTATGTGTACACTTGAGAACAAGCGGCTAAATTTCATTTTTAATGTGTGCCGTTGTGCCCACAGGAGAAAAAAATGTCAATAAAGGTTATCTGATCTAAAAATAATTGGGGATGCCTCAGCTTGCTTAGCAACAGAAATTCTGGTCCCAACTTTAATCATAAGCTGAGGACCACCTGTCTCCTGAATATGGTAACGACACAAAGGTTTTTTCCCCCTTTATCTTTATTTTGGGGAGAGGGGGTCATTTTAAATTTAGAATCATCTTCCTTTTGGGCAATTGCAGGTAATGTCTGCAAGAAAGAACAGCCTGTATTGAAACCAATTTTTCTCTCTCTCTCTCTTCTGCACCACTATATCTGGCTGAAAAGTTCCAGGGAAATCCTACAAGAAATGCAGAGCGAAGCATCTCACTTCACGAGGCCCTGAGGCTAATCAGATTCCAGTCAGGTTAATATTTAGATGAGACGCCATCAGGATGTTCCAGCACTAGAAGCTAGCTGGGGAATTAATGTCCCAATAAAAGAGAATATTTATAGCTCAGGGCTGAACTGTAGCATCTTTGGTGCTCTGTGAACTTGGTGAGGGTTTGGGGTTTTTTTTTTGCAGACGTTTCATTACCAAACTAGGTAACATCATCAGTGTACTGAAAACCACAAAGCTCTGAATTAAACGTACAAACATCTTAAAGTGACCAAGTCTGAAAATCACTGGGCCAGACGGAACAGAAGAAAGAATGTCTGGAAGAAGGCATTGGACAACAGTTTCCATCCTAGAAAAATGTCTGGATATGTCTGTCACATTCTCCAGGGGTCAAACTTGATTTAAGAAGAAATTTCACTTTACGAATAGCAGAGTCTGTT